GAAGAAAATCACTTAGACAAAGCAAAGCAAGGGAAGCTTAATAAATAAATGATATAGGGAAGGCAATTCTTAGCCCTTTCCCTTTTAACTTTAATGGAAAAGTCTCCTAAGAAGAATAATTCCAAATAGCTGCTTGGGGTAGACTTTTTTCTAAGGGTAAAAAAGATAGGGGAAGCACAAATATGGACTTTCCTTTTCTTCACTGATCAGCACTTTGCCTTTCGCTTTGAAAGCTGTTGTTACTCCCTAAATAAACTCCTTGTTACTCCACTTTTCTATAATAAGGGTGGCAGATGTTTGCTATCGTGTGTCATAAGTCTGAAGGTGTATTTTGGTGGTAAATACAGAGTATGAAACCCACTATTTGGATGTCATTCCCACAGTTCAACTAACATGCTGTCACTGTCATTTTAGCATCCTAATCACATCAACATTGTCCTCTGTGACTCTCACTCACTGCAGATTTCCAATAAAAATGTCTGTGATGAAGGAAGCAGCATTATTGCAATCAAACAGCTGAACAACATCTCTAATCCTAGCTTGTTCAACATCCCAGACACACTATAGAACATAGTGAACAGCTAAACATGGCAGGAAAGTACACCTATGCTGTGAACTGCTCTGCTTAGACAGCTACTGAGAAGCAGTCAAACATGGATGAGAAATGCCAAATTTCAGTGCACCTCACTCCTGGGACACTATAACATTGGAGGATGGTAAAGAAAGAGCATAACAAATATAATTTCTGCCTCTTAGTATCTTTCCTGCATGCTTGCATACAGGCATATGAATTTCCACACAAAAACATCCCACATCATAAAATTACTCAAAATGTTTTCACCATTGGTTTTGATTCAATTTCATGGCAAACCTAAATCCAGCAAGCCTGAAGTTCCTGGGTTCTGCAGCACTGTGCAGAACTGCACAGAGTTAGGCAGAAATGTTTCTCCAAGGAGATACATTTCTAGGAATCACAGCATTACTGCAAAGTTTGAAAAAATAATGTACTCTACCCCAAAAACTAAGATGAAAAAATATGGTACTGATTGCAAAAAATCCTATTAGGAGACTGTAGGAAAGAAGCTCCTGAGTTTCACTGCTATTTCCAATAGAGTATAAGAACTTGCTGCTTGTTCTCTCAAGGCAGAGAGCTCTTAACATGGAAGGTTTGAAATAGTCTTGAACAAATGCTCTTTCCTACCTTTCCTAATTTTTTTTCTTCTTTTGATGCCACATGGGTCTGAACCATGACTGCAGCCTATTTTGTGTCAGGAGCAGAAATTGTGCTGGACACGTTTGGCTGCAATGCGTCATTAGGAACTGGTTTAGGAACTGAGGAGACCCAGAGTAAAAAATATTCGAGTGATGCTCTCTGTGATTTGGAACTCATCAGAGGTGTGGAATGAATATAGTCTGAATAGTTCCAGCTCTATTATTACAGAATTACTGCTCTAATTTGGAGAAATTTGCCACTGATTGGATGTTCCTGTCTAGTTTTACTGCATGGTAAGTCTATGTTAGTTAGCATGTGTGAAGTATTTTCTGCAAATTGTGGTGAGTTTTTTTTCTTTTCTCCTAAAATGATCCATGAATTTTACACTCCTATCCTCTGTTGACATCTCTACCAGTGAGAGCACTAGTGAAACAAAATCATTTTCCTCTTCCCCAGTAATGGTATACACATTGCTTTCTGCACCTTTGGTGAAGAAAACAATGACTATGGTTTGCCAGCACCATCCTTGCTTCTAAAATATGAAGAAACATGAATAATATGTTTATTTTGTGCAAAAAATACAGAAACTATACAGAAACTTTTATTCTGCTGGGGAAGGATATATTGAAGTCTAAAAAAGATTTCAGAGCTACTTATGCTATATATAAATAAAAGTGACTCTTTCCTTATTCTGTTATTAAAGAAAAAAAAAAAGCTTAGGATCCTTGCAGATCTCTCAGATCTAGAATACATTCTTGGGTGAAAACTTTATTCTGAACCATCAAAGCCGTCTGTTCTGAACAGAACATTGATCTGCAGCAAGTCTTCCCAAATGCACATGGAGCTCCCATTCACTTTCTAGCCTCTTCCACAGTTTTTTCCTCAGATTGCCAATCTCACTACTTAATCAAGGCATCAGTTTTCAGCATTGCTCCCAAAGGATTGCTGAGTGTTACAGCAATTGTCCAGCTTTGGAAATCCTGGTATAGCCAGATATGTTACCTGTAAACAAACATTTTTTTTTAAGAAATTGTAGAAAGCATAATGGCTAGTCTGGTATTTAATTTTGCTATAAATGAAAGATTTTTGTCACATAAATAAAATCTCCCTCTACACCAAAAGGAACATGTTTATTTCACTGTAAACTTCTTTACACTTTCCAAGTATCATTTAATTCCTACACATATAAAACTATACTTCAGACTGCCATAAAAGAGAAGCTTTGATGTCACTTCTGACAGAAATTAGAAATGAGAGCAACCTATCATAAGTTTGAGTGTTGGTGACATTTTACCTGGTCTGCTTCAATGTTGAAAGAGCTGATGGGGACACTGGCAAGTCAGATCTTATGCCTTGATTTAGTTTCCTCAAACAAAAAATCGAGTTAAAGAGACTCACCTTCTTTGTGCAGCATTCTGAAAGTAGTTACGGAAATTATAATGTAACTAATATCATGTCACTTTCTCTTGTACTGACTGAATCCTCTGTTAAGTGAATAACTGGGATCTGTGACAGCTTTGGGCTTGCAAATCAGTGCAGATGAGATTCAGCAGACTGGAAAAGCAAAAATCAAAAAGTGCTCTATCAGATTACTTCCTAATCTCAGTGTCGTGTCAAGTGCACCTGTAGTAACTGCAGAAAAAACTCTGAATTGCATTTCTGGTAGGTCCAGATCACCAGATCATAGCCTCAATGTGTTTGATTTCCAAATAAGACCAAAATAAATGATTTTAGTTCAGATATAATGGGAGCACTAGCTGTAATTTACCTGAGCTGATGTATCCAACCTTTCAGCATGGCTTTAAGGGGCTGGCTGCACTGGTGGCCTGAAAACCAGCACGGAGCAGAGCTGGCTCACTTCTTGAGTATGGACAGATCCACTATGCAGCAAAGATCTTACACAGCATAGACATTGTGGCAGTCCTTATGAATCACAATTCATTAGCACTTCTACTACTTCACACAAAAGGGCAATGGGGTCAGAACTTTGCTCATAGGAGGCTCGTACAGGTAATAGTAAAACACTGCATGGATCTTGTGTGTAAAGGATTTCCAGTTTGAAAGATTGTCATGCACTTTCTTTTATTGACACCAAGTTTTTTAAGTTGAGAAAATACATTTTCTATTCTAGTATGACTTCAAAGCCTAGAAAAAGCAGTTTTTAGTCCCAAGGTGATATGAAGAAGGATTACACTGATGGGCACAGAGGAAAAGCAGACTAGGCAAATATACTGCAAGCTGATATGGAGTACAGCTATTATTATTACTGTTACATTTTGTCTGCCTTTATAAACTGTATATATACACACTTGGTAGTAGAGTAGAATTAGCAGTCTCTGTTCATCTATTCATTACTTTCAGATATACTTCAAGTGCTTTTTTAGTTGACATGGATCTAAACCCAAAGAAATCAATAAGAACAAGTAGGCTATAGCAGTTGCACATTAGATTAAAAGAAAAAAAAGTATGTAAGGAGTTCTGTCCCATGTTAAGTTCTTTCTTACTGCATTATCAGTGTAGTTATGCCATTGTAGCACTTTGCTATTAAAATTCATTAACAAAGGTTATTTTTTAGAAAGTATAAATTCTAAAAGTTTTCAGTTGTGCCATTGTCTCTGAGGCAAAAGTTACCCTAAAATTCCTTGTTCAGTTTTCTTCTCTCAGCTACTTCAGATTATTTCCCCAAAACATGATTTTCAATTCAGAGCTATCTTTTTAATGACATATGAATTAGAGCAGTGATCACAGATAATTATTTTTTTCCGTATTATAACTTTAATATGGTCTTATTAAGCTCACAATATTGTTTTATAAACTTAATTATAAGGATAATAAGGATGAATGAAGACTCATTGCTATTTTCTTTCAGAATAACTTCTCTGTGGGAGCTAAAGAAAAAAGCTAAAAAAAGGCGTGACAATAAGAAGATTAAATATTAAGTGTCAGCAAGTGTTTTTATTTCTCTGCAAAGACTTATATATAAAATTAGCTTTTTAAAGATTCTTACAGAGTATTTTATAACTGGTTTACATGGAGTATAAATAAATCACCTAATTTTGGACTAGCCATTTAATAAAGAATCTTAATTAACTCTTTTACACACAAAAAACCTGTTAACTCTTACTATGCAAGTCTAATGATGATGGCCACATTAAATTCCTGATTTAGTACATACTAATGGTTTTGAGAACAGCTTGAGCTATACGTTGCAGAATTCTACAAAATCCCAAGTCAAAATAGTAAGGTTGGTGAAATTCATCCTCTTTGTGGAAGGAATAAGGTCACACTTTAAAAAATCACCTGACATAGATATGCATTAGAAATCCACCACTGATTTCAAAACAAACCTAGACATTTTAATTTGGACTTCAGTCTTCTGAAAGTTAGGCATGTTTTCTAAATTGGTCATATAATCTATTTTCATATTTAGGGAGAGAGACTACTCAGTAAGTAATTCATAAAATAGGTGTCTTTTAGGGAGACTAGATGGTTATTTTTTATTTTCTCTGGGGATGTAGAGTTATTAATTCTTTTTGGAGTTAAGTGGAGGAAGTAGGGTCAGTTCTTTCTGGATTGGCAGGTGGAAAATGTAAGGAGCATGTCTTAAATGCTGTTCTAGAAAATAGGAGAATAAAATCCAAATACCTTCTCTGTGTAATTTGTGTTCTTATCTTCCAGGAAAGAAATCTAACAACTGAGCTGTAAGGAGGAATTCAGAAATAAAGGTGTTTGTGCATCACAGGTGAGACTTAAATACTTGGCTACTGTAACAGAATGTAATTCTCACCAGTACATTGTGGCTGTGGAGACAAAATCTTCCATCTGTGATGCATCCTAGAATACAGCAGCTTCATGAGACAGATTGCAGAATGGGTAAATATCTGTTTTAAAATGAAACAAAACACATTTTAAGGTCATCTTGTGATGTCATAAGTCAGTGCTTTCAGCTACATGTCAGTTAAGCATCCTTCCTTGTCACCCTGATTCTTAAGATTTTCTAAAGCTTTCTGAGTTTACATTCTGTTGGAGAACTTTCCCACACATTTTCTATAAACAAGATATTGTTTTGCATTCCTTCGTGGGGGTGGAGGAAATTGATGTACTGGTGGTTGGTCCAATGTCTTTGGAGAGGTGGCCCATTCACTCTCCAATCCACTGTCACCTTTGAAAAAGTATAAAGGTTGGAGTCAGAATAATAAACTTCCTTCTTCTTTTGCCTCGCCATCGCAGCGGCTCGTGTTGTGCTTTTTGTGTCCTATAGCGATACTTCCTCTCCATGCTGATTTACGTAAAGTTCTGTCATGCTCCAAAAATCATGAGGGGATGAGATATAGGGAGAACACATTTTGATTTGAGAATTCTAGGGGAGTAATGAAATGTCCTCGGGCTTTTGATAGCACAGTCACAGTAGAAAGGTCTGTGGCTTCCTCAGAGCCAAGGAGCCAATGTGTGGATTTCCATGCTAGAGACCTCACCAACAATTTGGATGAAGAGGTCTCCAGAGACAGAAAGCCTACATGGCAGCTGAGAGGGTAGACTGTCCCACAGGTGCCTAAACATTTGAACTTATGAACATGAAGCTGTTGCCTAAGTTATCTTCAATGAGACTTTGACTCTCTAGGCTCTATATAAAATATTTCCATTAGTGACTGTATGTTAAATGTTTTACTTTTATGTAAGGGCCTAAAAATTCAAGCAATAAACCAAGGGAATTTAGCAAATATTCTGGGTATTATATTAAGCATTAATATTCATACCTTCAAATTCTGCCCTCTCCATGCCTTGTACTTGTTTTTGAAAATGAGATTTTAGAAACGCTTTCATAACCTACTCTGAAAAACTACCCTCCCATTTCACTAGAAAAGTGCGTAAGTTTTATTGGTTCAAACACTGACTTAATTTTCATAACATCAAGTTTGCCTTTAAAGAAAGAATAAAGGAGAGTGTAAATACTAATCTTTTAGGGCTTTGATATGTTTGAAAACAGAATCCAATTAAATCCCTATAGTTGCTAATCTTTGTCTTAATAAAGTTTCTGTGGGTGTTATTGGCTGTTTATATCATGAAAACATGGAGAAGCAGTATGATTATTTTCATATTTGTGTTCAGATGTTTTACCATTATAAACACATGAGAAATCCTGCTTGAATCTATTCAATATATAAAAAAGCAAATAGTTTTAAAAAGGAGAGAAGGTAATTAATTTCACTTCTTAATGATGCTCCTAATTTAAACTATGCAAGAGATGTTTAATGGGTGAGAGAAATGTTGCAGAAAAAAACTGTTCTTCAGTTAAACAGACAAAATGAGAATTAGTAGAGTTTGAATCTATTTGCACATCTTCAGCAGACTTACTCTGTGACCTTAACCAAAATATTTGATTTTTTATGCCCTGCAGTTTTTCTATAAAACATGAATAATAAGAGTCAACTTGCTGAGAAATTGTGGGTCTTAATTGTTTACTATTTATATCTTCTGAGGGAATACAGATAGGATTGCAGAGTGTGATGAATGATCAACTTTCTTTTGCTGTTACCAAGCTCTGCTATTTTTGCCCAGCTATTTGATCATACAAAAATTTTTACTTTTTATATCCAACAACTGCCCTGACTGAAATGCATTGAGAAACAAATGTGAAGTCCTTCTCATGTCTCTTAAATGCAATTAATGCCCAAATTACTCTCAAAAGCAGTAGAGAACAATAATGTTCAAGTCTATCTCCACTGATTGTACCTGCCAGTTCTACAGGAAGATGAGTAAAGAGTGTCTTCCAGGTAAAATATATTTACTGCAATTTAATGGTTTAACCCCCCCCAAATCACCGTGAAACTAAGCTTCAGGCTTAGTATGCAAGTCCTGGAGAATGGAAATAAACCCACAACTTTCTGCTTCTGATTGAGCTGGTGAATACACTCGTGGTCAACAGAGAAGATTTGTTTTGCAGATGATGAGTTCCTGAAGCACAGGTCTGGCCCACACAGCTGCTGGATCTGAGTGCCCCACACAGAACATTAAGCAAACCTCTCAAGCTTGGTTACAAGAAAAAGGCTACATAGGTACCAAATGCACTCTAATGGCTGATGACTTGTTCAGAGAAATTACAGCGTAATACTTGTGATGAACGAGTACTGCTACTTCTAAGCAACAAGTAATTGCCAACAAATATCCTCAAAAATTTCCTACATAGTCCAAGAGAAAGAGGTTAATGGTATTTTTACAAAAACATTTTCTTATAGTTATTGGTCTTCATGTATTGTTACTTTGGATTGGGGTGTGCGGACAAAGGTCTTCAGGTTTTTTAAATATCTGATGCAGCCAAGCAAGTGGAACTTCCCACTTGATTTATTTGTCAGCATAAACTAGGAGAAGGTGCATGTATCCTTTCTGGTTACAAAAAAATAATTATTTTGAATAGAAAAAATTCTAATGCTTTCACACAAACTATGTAACAAAACAACAAAATTAGTACACTTTCCAATCTACATTTAATCCTGCTCTGTGGAGTTTGCATGTATGCATACTCATGAACAGTAATATAAAATGCAGACATCAGAAAAATTCTATACCTTGACTATAGACTAAGTTGAACTATAGATCCTGAGCTGTTACAAACAGGGTGCAAAGCAGTGTACATAATACAGTGTATATAGAACATGTCTGTACATGTCTTCTCTACCTTCTTTTAAAATCAAAATCTGAAGGACAGTGCCACTACCTAGGATGTTACAGACTATGAAGAACATTTTATTTCAAAACTTCAAGCAGCAGCTCAGGATATAAATTCCATCATGCCATTACAAATGTGAAATTAATCCAACAAACAAACAAACAAACAAAAAAAACACCCAAAAGAAAATAAAATCTATGCACAATAAACACAGATAAAAAATGGTTTATGAAAGTGCTGTGGTAAAGAAAATAACACAATAAAATAATTAGAAAATATCACAATAAAATAATTAGAAAATCTGGAATAAAGTTTGCTGTTTAATTATTTACTTATTTATTTTATTTATTATTTGAAATGATAATTTAATCCTTGTAATTTAAAATGTTATTAGTAACATGCAAAAATAAAATAAGCTTTTCTGTGATGAAGAAAACCAGCCGTTTCAGGACAGAATCATAGTCTCTTTACAGGCTTGAAGAGAATTAAACATTTGTCAGTGTGACAGGTCTTAAATTCACAGAAAATAATACCGGGATGCAAAAAATAAAATTTCATATTATTGAATGCTAAGGACATCACAGCCACCGGGCATGACAAGTGACAATGACTGATCTAAACCATGTAGTAAGTATGTTAAATAGTGTTTTGAGCAAAGTAAGAGTGCAAACTAAACACCTCTCCTATTTATGACAAAAAAATTTTGAATGCCCTTAGAAGGACAAGATGCAGATATTTTTGACCAATATGATCATATTTTTAATTTGCCAAATACATTTACAACCCTGGAATACATTTGCAATCTATCAGATTAATCCAACATTATATAAGTGTCAGATATGATTTGAAGAAACAGAAGGAAAAGATGCAATTAGAATATAAAAAAAGGCACAATATGTTTATTCTTTTTTGAATTCCTGCTGTCTAGCTTTCCCATGCGTGTGTCACACCTCTCCAATCTGACCTTCAGGGTAAAAAACCAAATGTGAAAAACATGAGGTTTCTTATTTTGTACACAGAGCCTTTTTTGTCCTCTCCTAGCTATTTCAAATCCATTAAATATTTCAGTTGTAGTTTGGGTATTTTCAGACCTACATTTGATTTTTATCTGGTTCATACACTAAAATATTTCTCTTAGTTCCTTATCATTGACCTTCTCAGCAAAACACCTCTTGGTTAGCCTCTGGTTTTCTCCGCAGTGTGCCAAATTCTCCTTCAAAGCTGAGTCAAAGCCTTTTGAATATTACCAGCTTGCTGGTGTGTAGGGTAAGGATTTCAGCTGAGTGTTGTAGCTTACATTAAAACTGTCTGGTGTGCTAAGGGTACAACTAGGCCTGCACCAAGCACACAGCAGGCCTTGGAGAACAGCTCCAGGGGATAACCGCCACGCTGCACACCCTTACCTTCAAGCAGCTGAAGAACACTTGGCTTAAAGCATTCAGTAGATGTGTTCTTAAAACGCCAAGGCTGTACTTCAGGAACACAAACTAATTTAAAATGGAATTAGCAGCTACTTGCTATAGTGAGATGTCCCAGTGAGAGACTCTTCAGGATGCTCTGAGCAGTTTTTTACACAAAATATTGAAAATGAATTGCAGCACAAAACCTCTTAACTCCCTACGCTTACCAAAGGCATCTTTTCCCACTCCCTCTCTTCCAATAGACTTTTTTTTTAGATGTTTCTGTTTACCCCCTCAGAGAAATCAAAAGGGATTGTGTATCTTTGCTCTTTTTTTTGCTCCATCTGATATTGCCTTAGCTCTGAGTCACCTACATTCTCCTGAGCTCTCAGCCTGATCTTGTCTAGGAATTGTACTCATTAACTCAGCTGAAACAAGTTTACAAAGACATCACTAGCATAATATACAGAGTACAGAGTCAAGGTCAAGTTGCTTAACATATGCATTTGTTCAGCTGTTTTTGAAATTTCTTCTGCAAATGTGAGCCTGGGGACTGAGTGGGCTTGCTCAATGCTCTTGGAGATCCCAAATGGTCTAATTCAATATAAGCTTCTTGCATCTGCAAAACTGTTTTTAGCTTTAAATTTTTTTTGCTGTTGTTTTAAAGACTATTTTAAAATTTTAGCTACTACAAATAGAAAAGATAGTGCTAGAGTGTATTACATTATCTGAGAAATAATTAAATACATGTAAATGGTAGCTGTACTATAAACATGTGTGGAAAACAGTAGTTAAGGAATGAAGTTGTTATTTC